TAAGGAGCCAGTGATTGACTACTTTGATGTCCAGGACTGAGAAGATAGATACATTTAGATAAAAGAATGATTCTGTGTAGCGGAGACTCATTTGCCAGCAGATAAATCATGCTCGTTCCTGCTGCGCGGCAGAATCCCAGACACGCGCTGTCTTGTGCTGATACATCCAAAGCATGAGTGTCAGAACCCCTTGTCTACTCCTGTCCCGAGTATCTCACTGTGGCCAGCTCCCTGGCTGTGTAGCCACTGGATTTTTAGTTGTGTGATTGAAGAGGCTTCTCACCTCATCACTGTGATTACTAAGAGGGTTAGGGAGTATCGTATTTTATTTGGATAAACCAGACTTTTTATCCCAAACTAGCTTTGTGGCACTTAGCCATAGTCTTGGTTGTCCAGTTGCTCACCAGGTGGACTTGACAGTCTTCATGTGGAAAGACACATGAAGTACTGACCATTGGTAAACCGTGTCTGGAATCATACAGGTCTTAAACCGTCTTATCTAAGACTTGGACTGAAAACTCTAGATTGGTCAGGATATAGATTTACATTTTCTCAAGTCCCTGGCATTCTTCCACCACATCACCGAGCCTACCCAGGGACAGTTTAACTGTGCCCCATAATGGTAAGAACTTGGAGCAAGCTCTCTTCTGCCATGTTTACGTTGTGGGTCTGTGAACTGTCCACTGTAGCCCTGAGTCCACTCTGGTTGATAAAGACTCTCATGCAGACAGCTGTCCTGTGTTGCTTTTTCCTAGGCCTTCAGCAGCCACACCAACTCTCCCTACATCTGAGCTCTGAACTGCTGTTTGAATAGTCAAAGAAATATGTCGACAGTCCAGAGCTTATGCCCAGCAGCCCACTGCAGGCATTCTTCAGTTTCCTTTAAGGCGGGTGTGTGGCCATCTTTACTGGCCCCTCTTCATCACAAGCTGGACTCTTTTTGTGTGTGTTTGTTTTTGTTTCCAAGACAGGGTTTCTCTGTGTAGCCCTGGCTGTCCTGGATCTCACTCTGTAGACCAGGCTGGCCTCGAACTCACAGAGATCCACTTGCCTCTGCCTCCCAAGAGCTGGGATTAAAGGCATGTGCCACCACCACCTGGCTTCTTTTCAATTTAAAATAACCTTTAAGCCCCAGAAGCTTGGAATCATAAAACAAGGCACTTAATTTTTACTTTTATTTTGTTTTTTGAGGCAGGATCTCACTAAGTTGCTTAAGCTCATTCAAGCTTTAAATTCTCAATCTTCATTGCTCAGCCTTCTGAGTGCTAGGATTACAGGTCTCTACCACCAATCCCAGCTGAGAGGCACTTAATTTTATAGGAAAAACGGGGCTGCGCTTTGGTCCTAACCCTAATCTCTGTAGGAAGGCATGAGGTGTAGCAGTATGAACGGGCGACTGGAGAGAAGTGGTGGGAAACAACAGAGTGGCTCTTTGGGCCTGTTTAGTACAGGGTCTCTGGCCTCACACCCAACAGGAAGTGCAGCTGTAATCCAGGGGAAGTAGGTGATCTGGCTGTGTGTATGCTTCTCAGATCTAGGCCTGCCAGTGCATAGATGGGGGCTCCTCCTGTCTGACTTGGGTTGTGAGGACTAAAGGAATCGCACCCTGGTGCATCAGATGCAGAGTCCATGAACATGATAGTTGGCATCTGGAAAGCACAGAAGCATCCTTTGTCTACAACGCTAACCGAGTTAAGAATGTGATGCCGGTTGGGCCTCTCCTGGTGAATGAGTGCCTGGTGCCAACCTCATGCTGGGACTGGAAAAGGAGGTGTGCTGGAGCTTGAGGGAGGATTAATTGTCCAGAGTGGGCAGAGAAAAGCTGGTGGGGAGGCTTGAGGCTGACAGGGATCTGTGTGAGTCATGGAAGCCATGGACAAACCCCAAGCCAGGGTAGCAAGGCTGCACTTATGATCTGTATGTATCAGAAGTCCACAGGTGTTTTCCATAGAGACCAGAGTAAAATTTTTTTTTTTTTTTTTTTTTTTTTTGGTTTTTTGAGATAGTTTCTCTGTGTAGCTTTGCGCCTTTCCTGGAACTCACTTGGTAGCCCAGGCTGGCCTCGAACTCACAGAGATCCGCAAGGCTCTGCCTCCCGAGTGCTGGGATTAAAGGCGTGTGCCACCACCGCCCGGCGTAAATATTTTTTTAATTATAAAGTTTATTGTTAAAAGGTTAAAAGGAACTTGCAAATAAAAATATAGCACCAAAATTATCCAGATCCAAAGTCTGTAGAACTCAGTGAACTTCTACACAGTTAGACTTGACATTTGAAACAGAAAGTGTGGGGCTTCACATTAAACTTTACACTTCCCTTTTTTTTTTTTTTTAACTTGAGAGATCTGCCTTGAACTCAGAGAACGGCCTGCCTCTGCCTCCTGAGTGCTGGGATTAAAGGCATGTGCCACCACTGCCTGGGCCCAAATCATGATTTTTACATATTAGAAAATGTTCTGACTTCCCAAGCCATTTTCAAATTAAAAGGGAAAAAAATCGGAATGTGGTCATGGACTTGTCTCCTTGACCTCAGGCTGGAGTGTGGGGAAGGGACCGTGGGTGCCAGCACAACCATCTTGTCTCCCACCCCATCCTTTCTGCAAGTGTTCTTTATGGCCAGAGCTTTCCAGAGAATGAACTCTTATCTCATGGCTAGATGAAAAGCCTTCCTGATTGCAGGTCTGGGAGAGACAGCTCTGGATCCTGTCCAGCCATGTTTCAAAGGCCAGAGTAGAGGAGACAGGCCTAGGGGAGAGGCTGTCCTGTAGATTTAGGTTTGAGGAATTCCTTCCTGTGTTGCTGGACTTCAGGATTCCTGTCTAAAAGGCTGGGGACCTCGCTTCCTAAGGAAAGTGGGACATGTGCTTCCTCTCCTAAAAGGAGAGACTGGCAGACCACACTGGCATCTCAGCCTTCACTGGCCTACCTTCTCAGTGACCCACAGCAAAAGAAAGTTCTGCTTCTCACGCATCCCGTGACCTCAGCATGCATCTCCTGTACCATTTCCCAAGGTTCCCTCGAAGAAATTGTGGAAGCCACTCTTGCGCCTCAGCTAACAAAGGCCAAGTCTGGAAGAAACAGACTCCTTGGGACCATAGTGTGTGGCGCATCAAGGTTGGTGTACAGGCCAGGAGGAAGCTAAGTCCTCAAGAAAATGAGCTATAACCCCCCCCCCCCCCCCCCCCCCAGTTTCCTCCTGTAGAACTCACTTGGAAGTCCTTCCCAGCGGTCCAGGCTGCTCTTAGCCTGGCTAAGATGTCTGTGCAGAGAGCCTGACTGAACATTGAGGTAACGCTGTTCCTGCCTTGGCTTGCTCTGACCCAGGCACTTTGCTTACAGTGGGCATCAGGTTCTGCATCCATCAGGTGGCGTGATGGTCCCTGCTCATATGCTGAGCAGATTCTGCATCCTCCCAGTGGGACAATGATTCTTGCCTGTGTGCTGGCCCAGGCTATCATGAGGGTGGTAGTGGTGTTCAGGGAGGTGGAGCGTCTCCACATGCCACAGGGCATCAGAACAGCTAAGCCTCCAGCCCAGACCTGGACACCCAGCAGGTAGCGTGGGGGAGGGGAGGAATGGAGCAGTGGTCAGGTGGCACTGGCAAGGGCGGGAGCTTTCAGTGACCCCACTTTGCTGTCTGCTGTGCCCAACACAGGAGTGGAGGAGTCCGAAGTCCATCTCTGCACACTTTCCAGGTGGCCTTTCCTAACAGTGGCTAACAGTTAACCACCTGATCAAGCACGACGAGCACATTCATCCTTTACTCCTCGAAGCCCCAGAAGTATGTTAGGTCACTTTCTGAAGATCACCCGTAAACAACAGGGAATCTGAGATTCTTAGTAGGTCTCCTGTGTCCTCGCCGCAGAACAGAGGCAGCTTCTTCAGAGTCCCTGGGGGTGGGGCGGGGGGAGGTGCGGGGTGGCCCAACAGGTCCAGTCAAGTGGGCAGGGAGATGCACCAAATCTCCCCAAACAGAACAAGCTGAACCTCTCAGAAGACAGGACTTTTTCTACATTGGCCACTAGAGTGCAGTATAGAACCCTAAACCAGAGTGGGATGCGTACTTAGCATCAGGAAAGCACTACAGTTCAAATTTTTTAGTAACGGTTACAAAGTTACAAGCCCCCTCCCTTATATATATTTTAAGACAGGGTGCACCGCCACCACCTGGCTCCCCCCCCACACACACACACCTTTTTTTTTTTGTGGTCTTTCAAGACAGGGTTTCTCAGTAACCCTGGCTATCCTGGAACTCACTCTGTAGACCAGGCTGGCCTCAAACTCAGAGATGAGCCTGCCTCTGCCTCTGGAGTGCTGGGATTAAAGGCTATTTTTTTTTTTTGGTCACATTTTCACTTCTTTTTAGATGTTTCTCTCTAGTTAATACAGACTGTAGACACAGAGGGAGAAAACAAACCATGCAGATACCCAAAGGAAAACTATTCCAGGCAGCAGGAACAGCCCTGCAAAGGCTCCGCAGTGGTGCCGGCCATGAGCTGTGAAGCCAGTAACAGGGAAGAGCAGGTATCCAGAGGTCAGCAGAGGGAATTTGATAGCATCAGGCCTTGTTGGTCAATGGAAAACTTTGGGCAAAATAATGTGTAAGATCTAGCTCAGTTTTTACAAAGGATCCAGGCCTAGAGCAATGGCTCTTCCAGAGACCAAATTTAGTTTCCAGCACCCAAATCAGGCAACTCACAACCTCCAGCTCTAGAGGTGTCCTGTGGCCCTGGCTTCCACAGGTGTGCACAGCACCCACATACAAAAAGTACTTTAAAGTAATAAGGGATCCCAGCCTGTATTGAGAATAGATTGCAAGGACGAGCATCTTCAAGCAAAGAGGCTATCACCCAATGCTGGCCGTCATCCGAGAGAGGCGGTGACGGTGGTGGGGTGGCGAGGGGTGGCTGGGTTCTGGGGACAGTTTGCAGATAATACCTAAGGGATCTGTTGGCAGCATGTGGGATGTGAGAGAAAGGAGAGTCGGGGATGATTTCAAAGTTTTTGGCCAGAGCAGCTGAGAAACTGAGTTTGCCATTTGCACAGGAGAGTGTGGGAGGAACCGGCTTTGGAGATGGAAATCTGTCCAGTAGGTGGCTGTACATGAGAGTCTGAAGTCTGGAGACAGGATGGGGCTCGGGAGCTAATTTGGGGAGCTATGATACATAATGGTATTTAAAGGATGGTGAGATCGTGTCCAGGAAGTGGACAAAAAGAAGAGGTACAAAGACAAGCCTACATCATTCAGGCGACAGGACAGGGCAGAGGACCAGGGCAGTGGTGCCCTCGGCCACTCCCTGCCTTGCCTCCTCCTCCTCATACCCCTGAGCCTTGGCTCCCTGTAGCTGAAGCTCCCGTGTCTCTGATGAGCAGGACTCCAGCCTGGCGCAATGAGTTCTTGCAGATTCTACCCAGCCACGCTCGATCACAGGGAAATGTTTATGGCAAAGGTAAAGCTCCTCAGTCCTGAGCCTCGTCTTTGTCTTACAAGGAAGCAAAGGGAAGCGCAGAGTCTCAATAGCCTGCCGCAGTTTCAGGACACTTGAATGTGGGCTTTTCAATATAAGGAGGGAGTTTGTTGTTTTGTTTTGAAACGGTGAGTCTCCAGGTTACCCTGCTGCCTGCAAACTCCTGGGCTTAAGCAATCCTCCTGCTTCAGTTTCTCGAATAGCTGGGACTATAGGCCCTATGCAGCTATGCCTAGCTGGCTTATTTTGTTCTGTGTGTGAGTGTGTGTGTGTGTGTGTGTGTTTGTGTGTGTGTGGTGGGGGGGGAGGTTGTCATTTAATTGTTCCTATATGTTATTTATATTCTTGTTACAGAAAAATTGGACAATTCAAAACCCAAAGCTAGCCAAGCTCATACCCTTAGGTGCCAAGACACATGGGCCTCAATTTCCTTGACTGTTAGAGGATTGGATGAGAGATTGCATAGTACATGCAGCCAGCATAAGACCTGTGTGCCAGGCAGAAGCCCTGTCTTTCCGGCAGCGGCAATGTGAGATGGGAGCTGTTTTCCTCTTAGCTCAGGTCATACACCTAGTGATAGCAGAGCAGGTACTTGGATCCAGGCTGGAGGCTTCACTGGGCTTTCAAGTGTACAATATGATCCTTATGTATATAAGTGGCAGGATCTAAGACCTCCTGCTCCCTGTAATAAGGTCAGTGCAGATGGCTATGGAGCCAAATGAGGGTACACCGGTAGGGGTGGCTACAGACTCCTCACGTACAGGACATCTGTTAAAAATGATAAGTGGGGGCAGTGGTGGTGCATGCCTTTAATCCCAGCACTCGGGAGGCAGAGGCAGGCGGATCTCTGTGAGTTTGAGGCCAGCCTGGACTACAGAGTGAATTCCAGGAAAGGCACAAAGCTACCCTGTCTCTAAAAACCAAAAAAAAAAAAAAGATGGTAATTTTGGGGTTGGGGATTTAGCTCAGTGGTAGAGCGCTTGCCTAGCAAGTGCAAGGCCCTGGGTTCGGTCCCTAGGTTCGGTCCTCAGCTCTGGAAAAAAAGAAAAATGATAAGCGGCGCTAGTTACCGCACGGAAAGGCCACAAGCCACGACAAAACCCAGTATCAGAGCTTTATTAGGAGGAGGGAGGGCAGAAGAACCAGGCCTGGGGGAGAAGCATGTGCAGAGGGCAGAGAGAGAGAGAGAGACAGAGACAGAGAGACAGAGAGACAGAGACAGAGAAGAGATAGTGGGGGGAGGAGAGGACAGAGGAGGGGGGTCTGTGTCCAGCTCTTTGAGGGTAAAGGTTCCCCGCAGGTGGGCTTACGGAGCTGCACCATGCCACGTGCACATAAGAGGCAAGACCCCTTGCTTAGCTCCTGAACTTCGAATGTGCCGGTCATGGAGCTGGTGCGGGGACAGACTCCTAACACCAGCAACACCTGGGCTGAGGTGACTTTTCCTACCACTTCCCAGGCTGCAAGACTCCATCTGAAGAAGGTCAATAAGGCCACTCGGAGCTGAGTGCAGCCAGCGTCCCTAGCAAGACCCAGAGTGAGTGGGAAGGCAGGCCCAACAAGGAGTGAGGGACTCTTCCCACCAGGCTGAGAAGCGAACCAGAGACCTAGAGGAGCCCAGCATTGGACTAGGTGTTCCTCCTCATCCCCATTGCTCTTCTCAACAGCAGACTCAACTGGAGAGGGGGCAGGATGGAGAGTGGGGTCATAACATGGCTCTTCAAGGTGCTGGAAAAGTCATCTGGGAGGCCACCAAACACCAACAGATCCAAGTCTCGTTGTACAGATGGGAAAACAAGGCCGGAAGAGGGGAGAGGCACACAGCCAGTGTGTGCTGGGGCAGGAAGAATGGCAGAGGAATGTGTTATGAGCAAAGCCAAAAGACTGAGGCCCACAAGTGCTGTGACGCCCACCCCACCCATCCTGGCTGTTTCCTTCCTTCCTGCACTGAGACCTGTCTCTCCTCTGGAGACTTCCTCAGCTCTGCTCCAACACTTACCCTCAACTATTCCCTGGGCCTGGCCTCAGTCTCCCAGGCCTGGCTTCTCTGCTCTCATCTCCTTCCGACCCTTCATCACCTTTGTTCTCCAGCACGAAGGCTCCTCCAGCCCCCCACCTCCTCTTCACATTTCCCACTTCCTATCTCCTCTTCCTTCTCCTTGGCGTTATCACTCACACACCATGGACTGTGCATGAATATAAACGCCAAAGAACAAGATCTTCCTTGTGTCTATATCCTTGAAGGTAGATGGTGCCTGCCACAGTACAGACTTTCAACCAGCGACTACTGAGAGAATGGATAGGCCTGATCTGTGGTTGGGGTCAACGATCTTGTGAGCCTGACACTGAGCAGAAACTGAAAGGTGTTACAGGAGCCAGCCATGGTTCCACAGGCCTGGAATCTCAGCAGGAGGGTTATCAGTTAGAGGCCAGCCTGAGCTACATAAAGAGACCAAGTCTCAAAACAGCAAACCAAAAGCTCGTTTCAGGGCAGGTGTGATGGGGCTCAGCAGGTAAAAGCACCTGCATGGAGTGGATGGGGAAAAGAATCAATAAACAGAAGGATAAGACAGACCCTCATCCCTGGAGCCTGTGTAGACCTCTCATATGTTCATGCTCACAAGACCCCTGGGGAGAAGGAGCTTGCCCGGGGTCAAGAGGCTGGAGCCGTGTAGCGGCCAACCCTTTCCTGGTCACCTCCAGCTCTGGATCACTTGGCTTTCATCCTCCTAGCATGGGACACCAGGTACACGCAAGCTTTTCTCTTCCCTTCCTGGTCCCGTGTGATCCCAGCATTCTCCATGCCTGTCAGCCTCCTTCCACTCCCATGCTGTGATTATTTCCTCTGTAGAGCTTCTGCTTACTTCTTTTGTGGTACCGGGGATTGAACCAGGGTCTCTTGTGAGTACTCTACAATCGAACCACATCCTGATCTCTTTTAGTCTGTGTGTGTGTGTGTGTGTGTGTGTGTGTGTGTGTGTGTGTGTGTAAATGCGTGTGCATGTTTGTGCGTGCTCACAACTGCCACAGCATTCATGTGGAGGTCAGAGAACGACTTTTGGGAGTCGTTTCCTTTCATCCATCGTGTGGGACCAAGGAATCAAACCCAAGTAGTCAGGCTTGGCAGCTCTGCCCCCCCCCCCCCCCCGACCATCCCACTCCCCCTCTTTTATTATATATATTTTACTTTTGTTCTGACACAGAGTCTCACTAAGTTGCCCAGGCTGGCCTTGAACCTTCAGTATGACAAGTGTGAGTTACTGTGCTCAGTTCAGGCTCTTTTTTTGTTTTTAAATACATGACATATACACAGGGGAGTTTATATCACAATATATTATCAGGCAAAATCACATAACAAATTCATACATTTAATCCTAGAACTAGAGAATCATTAAAATCTTACATGAAACTTGTGCTCTGAACATGCCCTTAGAGAAATCATCTCTCCTTTTTTTTTTCAAAGATTTATTATGTATACAGTGTTCTGCCTGCATGTGTGCTTAGACACTAGAAGAAGGCACCAGATCTCATTACAGATGGTTGTGAGCCACCCTGTGGGTGCTGGGAATTGAACTCAAGACCTCTGGGAGAGCAGCCAATGCTTGTAACCTCTGAGCTATCTCTCCAGTCCTCATCTCTCCTTTTAAATAGTGTTGTTACATCCATGTGTAAGTCCAGAGACTATATTGCTTATTTTCAACTAGACTGTACGGCTTTATGCTCTGTTCTTTGTTTTGAGATGGAATCTCACTCTGTAGCCCAGGTTGGTCTGGGAGCTCACAGTGTAACCCATGGCCTCAAGCTCGTGGCTGGCCTTTCTGCCTGCGCCTCCTGAGTGCTGAGAGTACAGGTATATACCACCACACTTAGCTCTGTAGCGTGCTGGGGCTCTAACCCATGGCTCACACATGCTAAGCAAGAGCTCTGCAAACAGCCCTAGCTCCATCCCCGGCATTGCTTGTTATGCCCACAAAATGTCGCCCCGCCAGTGGTCCTTGTAGGGATGGAGCAAAACCCATCTGCAGGCTACAGTGCTGAGCTGGCCCGTTACGTGCCCTGCTGGCTCCTCTCGGCATAATTTTTTTAGAAGCATAAATATTGATTTGTAACAAAGGAGTTTGTGTACAGTGTTGAAAAGTCTACAACTTCCTGTTAAATTCACATTTACACTTCCCCTTTTTAAACCAACATTTATAATCATTATTTTATACCCCTCTCAGCATATTGTCTCATGACTTTCTCTGTGGACCCATCTGTCCCAGTTCCAGCATCCAACACTTGGTAGTATAGTTCAGGTGAGCTTTTAAAATCTCAGCTTGCCAGGCGGTGGTGGTGCACGCCTTTAATCTCAGCACTGTGAGTTCGAGGTCAGCCTGGGCTACCAAGTGAGTTCCAGGAAAAGCACAAAGCTACACGGAGAAACCCTGTCTTGAAAACCAATAAATAAATAAATAAATAAATAAATAAATAAATAAATAAATAAATCTCACCTTGTCCCCCACCTCCAGAAGGAGTCCAGCCTCCTCTGTCCCCTGTTCTCTAAGGCTATAAAGTGTGACCCTCAGCCCCAGTAAAGGACACTGCACACACCTCCACCTCACCACCCTCTGCCAACACACATACACACATGCACACTCACACACACACACTCTCTCTCTCTCTCTCTCTCTCTCTCTCTCTCTCTCTCTCTCTCACACACACACACACACACACACACACACACACACACACACACTCACACACACAGTCCTCAGACACAAAGGCCCAGCCTCATCCATCATGCATTTCCAGAGCCTGCACAGAGTCAGGGCTCACTCAGCATTCATGGAAATTGATGACAGGACAGAACGATGATGTCTGCTGACCCCTGCCTCATCCCATCACCAGGCTTGGAAATGGAGTTTTAAAATTTCAGCTAGGGAGCCGGGCAGTGGTGGCGCACACCTTTAACCCCAGCACTTAGGAGGCAGAGGCAGAAGGATCTCTGTGAGTTCGAGGCCAGCCTGGCCTCCAGAGTTAGTTTCAGGAAAAGGCACAAAGCTACGCAGAGAAACTGTGTCCTGAAAAGCAGGAAAAAAAAAAAAAAAGAGTTCATAGCCAGACTTGGTTACATAATACCCTGTTTCAAGGTGAGGGGGTGCACAGGGGGTGACTCTAAAAGGCCACTGAGGAAGGCACTCATGAAAACAGGTTGAGAAATCCTGGTGTAAACTCTTGGCCTTGCCTTCTCCGGCTCAGAACTGGAGGAAGGAAGAAGCAGGAGACCCCGGAGTACCGTCCCAGGATACCCTCAGAGAGTCCCCAAATCTGGCCCCCATCTCCCAACACATACACCAATGCATGAAGGTCCACCAGTCTGTCTGGTGTCTTTATATCACTGTGAGGCCCCAAGTAGACATTCTCCCAGGCACACCACTCCTGGAGCTGGAAAGAGCTGGTGTCTTTTGGCCCTTATGCCCCAGTGCTAAGAAAAGAGCCCAGAAGAACAACCCTGGAATATGGCAGGCAGGGTGGTAAATGCCTATATCCCCAACACTCAGGAGACAGAGGTGGGAAGATTGCCACAAGTTCAAGGCCAGCCTGCTCTACATGACAAGGTCCCAGAAGAGCCCAGGAGAGAGTTCAGCTGCAGGAGGACCACTGCCAGTGAGGTGTGCTTTATTGCAGCAGGATTGTGGTCACAGAGAGCTCTACTTAGAAGCTCTCCAGAGGCATAGAGCCACAGAGGGGTGGGGCGGGTTAGGTGGAAGTGACGGAGGTGAGGGGGACCTTGGGTGGTACGGTTACGTTCTGGTTTCCTGGTGCAGAGTTCTCCGGTCTCTGAGGATTCCGTGGTATGCTGGGGTGAATTATGCCCAGGTACACAATGCCACCTATGTAGGCACCCAGGGTGGGTGCCACCACTGGCACCCACCACCAATTGTCCCCGGCGCTGCAGGCAAAGAGGAGGAGGCCTGCTCAGGACACTGAGGCCCAGGATGTCACTTGTATCTAGTTCAGACCACCACAGGGTGAGCAAAGAAGCCACCCCATCTACCCTAAGGGACTCTCAGCCTGAATCAGGGGCAGTCCAACAGCAGGATCCACAGCTGAGGATCTTTGGGCCCCTCCCGATCCCAGACCACCTGGAGACTTCCTAAGATTCTCCTGTGCCGCCCTGACAGCTCACACCCTCTGCATGCAGGGACACCCAAGAAGCTGAGAGGAACGGGGTCTTGCAGGGGCAGTACCTGAACACTTGTTTGCCCCAGCCAGCAATGAAAGTGAAGATGCGGGGAGGCAGGTCACGGGATGGGTTGATTGCATATCCCGAGTTCATGCCGAGGGACACCCCAATAACACAAACAAGGATGCCTATCACCAGGGCATCAGCCCCTTGAAGTGATGCACTGTTATCCTTGTCAGTGATGGCGAAGAGACACAGCTGGAGCATTCCGGTCAAGAATACCTGGAGAGTAAATGTCATGGCAACCCACTGAGGACATGGGCCAAGTCACAGGCGCTCAGGCAGGACCCCAAATTTGCAGTGGCAGAGACACGTCTTGGTACAATCCCATCCAGGATTCATCCGTCCTCTTTATCTGTCACCGGGAACTTGAGGTGAGTCACCCTCATCACTGACCTCATCCAGGAAGCCCCGCCACAAGGTCATGTATTCAGGGAGATAGGTGGCAAAGATGCCTGCCGTGGCCTTGGGACCTGTCACCAACAGTTCTCCGCTTGCAAAATTGTAAATGGCACCTGTGGAGACAAAGACAGGAGCCTGAGGAGTAAGCGGCTGGAAATTCTTCAACAGCTTTACTAGGCTAGGTTTTTTGTTTGTTTGTTTGTTTGTTTGTTTGTTTGTTTCTCATCCTTCCAGAACTAGATACCAAGATGGCATCTAGCCATAGTTCAGAAAAAGAGGCTGGAGGCAAACAACCCGGGAAGAACACTCACTATAGAATAATAAGTAGATGGTGCCTGCAGCTGAGAAGGAGCCCAGGCACTGGCCCAGTACATATACGGGGAACTTCTTCCAGGGCATTCGGCCTACCGCACAGGTGGTGAAGGTCACTGCTGCGTTCATGTGGGCCCCTATCACGAGAAGAGGTGGGTGCGGTGGGGGTTAAAAGTAGAGAAATGAGCAACAAAATGAACGTGGCAGCAACAGCGACAATAAATACGGAAGGCGACTGTTTATGGAGTGTGTTTCCTGTGACAAGAACTCTCTCACGTAACCCTTAAAAGGCCACACAAAGCTGGGGCCGCCATCACCATTTTTACATAAGGCAAGTGAGGAGAGAGGTGACTCCTTGGCCTAAGATAAGCCAGCTGGTGAAAAGGGGGAGTCAAAGGGTCCGTGAGGAGTCTGGGGAAGACAGGGGCAGAGGAAAGGGCTTCACAGGGGCCCCCCTCCCTGTGGGTCGCCTAAAGGTGCAGCAGAAGGGGCTTCTGTGCCAGGGAAGAGGCTTGCTGAAGAGGACAGAAGCAGCCCACCAGAAAGTCTTGGCCTGACCAGATACGGGCTCACTCACCGGAGATGCTGCCCGCCACGTACACTCCCATGGTGACTCCGAAGCCAAAACCCAAGTTGACACCAAGAAAGCTCCCATGCTTTTGCTGTCCCAGAACCATATGAGCCACGGAACCAAGACCAAATACCTGTTGTGAGGGAGGGACTTCTGAGGGAGCTGCCGGCCCAACCTCCCCCATCGGAGGAAGGCTCAAAACTCAGTTTCTGCTCCTCACCACCCCACCCCTATGCCCTCGTCCCTGGGCCTCCCCAGTATCACTTATAAAGACCACGCCTTCTGCTGGGGGGTGGTGGTGGTGGTGGTGGTGGAGGTGGTGGTGGTGGTGGTGGTGGTGGCACACGCCTTTAATCCCAGCACTTGGGAGGCAGAGGCAGGCGGAGACCCGAGAGTTCCAGGAAGGACTTCAAAGCTACGCAGAGAAACTGTCTCAAACCGCTCCCCTCCCCGCAAAAAAAAGACCATGCCTTCTTTCTCCAGTCTTTTCTTATAAACTTCCCTCCTTGGCCCCTAGTGAAGCATCTCAGAGTCAATGAGAGCTGAGTAATGGGGATAAAAAAGATCCAGATATAGGATGCTACACTCAGAGGCTAGATCTATAACTAGTCTCAAGTTTGGAGTGGGAGCAGGGCTTCAAGGAGGACAGCTGGTGTGAATTGGCCCCCTCAAGACATACTACGTGCCTAAGGAGGTTCTAACAGTCCATCTGAAAGAACTATTATTCTCCCCACCGGACACATGGGCTACCTGAAGCTTAAAGAAGCTGAAGGACCTATTCAAGGTCACATCACCTGTCACGTGATGAGCCAAGCATGACTCTAAGAAGTCATCTACGCAAATCCCTGCTGCCATGAGTGTCTTTGGGTTCTTAGAAATACTAACCCCTCAGGCGGTGGTGGAGCACACCTTTAATCCCAGCACTCGGGAGGCAAAGGCAGGTAGATCTCTGACTTAGAGGCCAGCCTGGGCTACAGAGTGAGATCCAGGACAGCCAGGGCTACACAGAGAAACCCTGTCCAGAAACAAACAAACAAACAAACAAATCATAAACAAAAACTACCCCCTCTGCCTGTAATACCTGATCCTACATCATAAAGCATTTAGGGGCCAGTGAGAACAGCTCAGCAGGAGAAGGTGCTCACCACCACCCAAACAACCCGAGTTTGACTCCAGAACCTATATAATAGAAGGAGAACAGCAACTTCAAAAAGTTGTCCTCTGACTTCCACTGATGTGATGTAGCACACATTTGTACACACACACACACAAATAAAGCATAATAAACTTTGCTGTTGGTCTTTTTGAAATAAGATTTCTCTGGGTAGCACTGGCTGTTCTGGAGTTCGCTCTGTAGACCAGGCTGGCCTGGAACTCAAGAGATCCACCAGACTCTTCCTCCTGAGTGCTGAGATCAAAGGCATCGGCCACCACTGCCCAGCTCATAATAAACTTTTAAAAATAAAAACATACTCAGATGACACTTCCTTTGAGATGTCCATGTGTTCGCACATGTGTTGTGAAGAGATCTCTACTGTCGGGCTGCTGGCAAAGGGTCTGCCTATGTGTCCTCTAACGTGGCAGTCACTGACCACACGTGGTTGTTATGTGCTTGAGTGTGGCTACTACAAACGAGACCTGCCGTTAGGTGTAAAAACATGTACCAGGTTTCACATACCTAGAATCAGAAATGAGGATCACTTTAGTAGTCTTCCACTGACTACTTATGACATGAAGTTTGGAATATATGTGTTAAATACCATAATTCAAAATAATTTCACCTGTTTCTTTTGCCTTTTTAATGTGGCTACTATGAAAAGACTACGTATCTGACTGATTGCGTTTCCTTTGTATGCCTTTGTTTATGAAAGAAAAAAACCTAAGGAATTGTGGGTATGAGAGCTGGCAGCAACTCCATCAATGGATGATGATACCAGGAGAGGGCACAGAGCTGAGCCTGTGCAGGACTCAGGGTAAGTGTTAGAAATGTCAGCTGCAGCATATATTGAAATGGAAGAATGGAGAAATTATGCTATGGACACCAGGGAGAGATGGCATCCTGAGGAGGGCAGAGTCAGCTCTGTCTTGGCAGCCTGAGTCACAAGTGTAAAGGTCTAAGGAGCAGTCCCTCGGGTGTGACACTCCAAAAGTCATCTGTAAGGTATTGAGTCCTGTGTTGTCAGGCCCTGGGGGCAGTGGCTGGGTCCAGAGATTAAGCGGTAAATGGTGGTGAGGAAAAGTCTAATTTTTTGTTTCCTTTTGTGCTTTGGACACAAGGTCTCACTATATTGCTCAGAATAGCTTCAAGCTCCTAAGCTCAACTATCCTTCCGTCTCAGGCACACGTCACTGGGTCCAGCAAAGATAATTCTGAGGGACAGTGTGGTTGGATTCTTCCTGTTGTGTGAAGCAGTAAGGGTGAAAGAAAAATCAGTCCCTCACTCATGCAAGGAAAGTGCTGTGCCATTGAGCCGCGACCCCAAAAGACAAGGAGGAAGTGGAAAGAGCTGGTCCAGACTGGTGCCAGGTTTGGGTCTTGTGTTGTTTTGGGTAGAGAGACTTTGGTATAGGCAGAGAGAGAGAGAGAGAGAGAGAGAGAGAGAGAGAGAGAGAGAGAGAGAGAGAGAGAGGAGAGTGAGATGGGCAAAGTACCTGGGGGGGGGGGTGACTGGTACAGAGGTGGAGAGGCCCCTGGAAGGAGGCATCTGCTCCAGCTGAAGGGAGGTGGGTACATGCACAGGTTACAGGTGAGAGGCACAGGAAGGGGAGGAACTGGGTACAGTGAGCCTCCTGATGATTTCCTCTGGTGAGCGGCAGGTCAAGCAGTTTCCAGAGTGGGGGGCACAGTTGCGAAGAGCCAGGCCTAGCATGGTGATGCACACCTGTAATCCAGCACTCCAGAGGCAGAGGGTTAGTCTAAATTTGAGGTGTCATGTTTTACATAGTATCTTCCAGGCCAGTCAGGGTCCAAGGCTATAAATGTAGTGAGACCTTGTCTCTAAAAAAGAGCTGGAGAGATAGCCCAGCAGTTAAAGTACGTGCCACCCAAGTGTGAGGACCAGAGTTCAAATCTCCAGAAACCCACTTAAACGCTGAGTGGTGTGGAATCACCAGTAATTCCAACCCCAGAAGGCGAAGACAGGGCGTATCCCCAGAGCGACCAGCCAGAAAGACTAGCCAAATCAGCAAGTTCTAGGTTTGACTGAGAGCCGCTGTGTCAGTGATTAAGGTGGAAGGGTGGTGATTCTCAACCTGGATCTTTGGCCTCCACATGCCTCCACACACCACACACGAAAAATGGAAAAAAGGAAGCAAGGCACCTGGGCATAGCAGGACAAGCCTGTAATCCCAAATCTGAGGCTAGCCTGGGCTACGCAGTGAGACCCTGTCTAAAACAAACAAAAACACGGGAGAGCTGGCTAGTGGCTGAGAGCACACACTGCCCTTGCAGAGAACCTGAGTTCAGTTCTGAGTACCCGAGTCAGGGGGGCTCACAACTGCCTGGAACCCCATCTTCAGGGGGAATCTAACACCTCTGGCTTCTGTGGGCACCTGGACTCACATGCACATACACACCAGTACGTACACACACACACACACACACACACACCAAACAATTGTAAAACCAACCAACAAACAAACCTTAGGGGGCAAAGTGAGACAGCCCCCAAAGCAGAGAGAGGCAGTTGAGCAGGGCTCCCTGGGTCCTGCAGGAGCCCAGGACAGGGGCAAGGTGCCCAGAGATGGCCTGACGTGCAGTCAGGGTGGGGTGGGGTGGGGTGGGGGAGCACAGCATGAGCAAACAGGAGCTGATGGGTGTGGAAGGCGGCCAGGCCAGGTGACAGGCTGGGAGATACGGGAAGCGGCAAGGCCTGGATGAGCATGGAGGGGCTTCAGACAGGAAGTCCTACTTCCGTTCTCCTCATTCAACGCCATTGACTATGTTGTTGGCTCCTGAGACAGACCTTCTCATGGCAATCCTCCTGCCTCAGCTCCTGGAGTCCTGGGATTACATTCATGTGCCGCCACACCTTGCTTCAAAACCATCTGTTGGAGCTGGAGAGATGACTCAGAGGTTAAGAGCACTGACTGTTCTTCCAGAGGGACCCAGGTTCAGTTCCCAGTGCCCACATGGCAGCTCACAATTGTCCGTAATTCCAGTTCCAGGGGACCGGATAGCCTCACACAGAATATATATGGGCAAAACACCAGTGTACATTAAATAAATAATAGATCTTTTTTAAAAATTTGCTAAAGATGATGAACGAGTGAACCAGTTTCACATGGTGAGATCCTGCTGCCAGGCTTCCCAACTGCCAGTGAATGGCCCTGATCCACCCAGCATAGTTGATTTTGGAAGTTTCAGCTGCTCTTAAAAACGAGACGATCTGGGAATAGTGGCCTTCATTCCACTCTCCGTGACTACACCCTTATACAGATAGGACCAAAGCCCTTTGCACCCTTCCGTCAGTCCATGACATGGGAGTCTGCAATCCTTGCTCCGTACCTCCCATGTACAGCCAGGTTTCCAGGGCTCTGAAGCCTCCAGCCCTTCCTCTCCCGGGTCTGTGAATGTAGCCCAGCCCATCAAAGTGCCAGCAACGGCCAGGAAGCCCGCTCTCAGAACAACAACTCATCCCAGCTGCAGAGAATAGAGCCCAAGGTCACACTGGCCTTTTTTGGCATAACCTTTACCCTGGTGATCCACTGAGCTTCCTATCACCAAAAAAGCCCCCACTTCTTGGCCCAAGACAAGGAACTAAAAATAACAACAGCACACTGTCCTAGAGAGAAGTTTAGCCTCAGAAAGGTCTTTTTACAAGTGGTCTTTCTCAAACCTCACAGAAAATCAGTGGAGCAAATGTTTCTGCCCCCACTGTACCGATGGGCCTGAAGCCCAGAAGGTGTTCTTCAACTCCCCAGAGACCGAAAGCAAGTGCCCCCCGCCCCAGCTGGAGGAGAGTCAGCATGCCGGGACCCTAGCTAGTTTTTGCCATCTCTAAGCTCAGTGGGAGGGCAAAGAGATGAGGGATCAGGACAGACATCAGCCTGGCCTGGATTTGGTTTCGACTTTGGCAGGTGACTTAGTCTCACAGAACCTCTTCATTTTCCCATCTGTAAAACAGGGGTGATAATAGTACCTACCTCAGGCCAGGCATGATGGTACAACACCCTTAATCCCAGCACTCAGGAGGCAGGGGCAGAGGAGTTCAAAGTTGAAGTCAATCGAGGCTGTGCAGAAATGTCTTGTTTTAAATAAATAATTTTTTGGGGGGTGGG